TGAGAAGAATTTTTGAAAGCAAAGAATACAAAAGATATTATGGTAATTAAATAATTATATTATCTAGTTAATTTAATATATACTAAACAATATATAATTTAAGGGAATATTTATTTGTCGCATATGCTACATTGTCGCTTTTACTATATTGTGTAACAAATATGTTTCATAATACAATTGCGGAATTTGAATATACAATGATATATAACAGTAATAGTATAAATTAAGTAATAGTATAAATACATTATGTAATTGATATATAGCTGCAGAAAATTTAGGTTCTTTGCTTCCAAATGAAGTAAAGGGATACATATATTTACCTTGAATTATTTTGTGTGACATATTAATATACGCCTTTGGTTTACTGTGATTAGTTACAACTAAAGCTTGCTTCTGTGATAGTTAAACATTTTCGCGAAGTATTAAAATTACTGTACAGCTTATTTCTTTTGAAAGGTTTGTTTTTTTCGCGGCTAATAACAACTACAACCTGTCTTGTAACAACTTACTTTCATAACAGTTTTACATTTTTGCAGCTAGTTTTCCAGATACTGCTTGTCCCCATGACAGCTTCGCTTTTTTGTATATAGTTATATCATTTTCACAAAGTATTAAAATTACTATACATCTTATTCTTTTTGAACGGTTTATTTTTTCACGGCTAATAACAACTACAACCTGTTTTGTAACAACTTTCTTTCATAAGGTTTTACATTTTCGCAGCTAGTTTTCCAAATACTGCTTGTCCCCATGACAGCTTCGCTTTTTCATATATAGTTATACCTATGCTTGTTCCCGTGATAGTTTCACTTTTTTGCGGTTAATTTGGCTAATTCAAGTATATCTTGTTTCTGTGAAAGTTGCACTTTTTTGCATTCGGATATTTTCAAAATGAAAAACGGTACTAGTTTTATAGTTTGAAAATTTATTTATTGCAGTATTGTGAATATCTACTAATTAACTTCTTATTTTTTTTCTTGAAAAAATTTTTATAGTAGTTGAGGAAGAATGACATGAAATTGAAGATAGTAACTTAGGTTAGTATGTTTTATAATTATAACTAATCTAATGTAATGCAATATATATATAATCAATAAATTTTGTAGACACTGAAGAAATAGAAAATATTCCTACAGGACCTACGGAATATCCCTTAATAACTTCTTCTATAGAACTATCTGTTAGAACTCGCTTTGGTTCTTGGAATATTATTTGAAAGAATATGGAAGACAAAAAGGTTTTGTGACAAAGCGGTATAGAGTTGAATTTAATAAGGATCACATGATTAAAAAGTAAATATTAATATGTGAAAAGGCGGGTAAATATAAGCCTAAGAAAACCAAATCTATTGGCGAGCAGCATAATAAAGGCTCCAAAAGGACAGATTGTAAATGGCACATTAATTTGAGTAATTCCGGATCTGCCAATTATATGTATATAACTCTCGTTTATCTTGAACATAATCACATGATTAACACTGATAATAAGAGATTTGCTACAGCATTCAGACACTTTGACAAGGATGTAATAGCCGAAATAGAACATGCAGTGGTGTATAGTCATTGTGATGCACATACCATAAGGAACCTGCTTCAACCATTGTTTCCTGACCAATTATTTCTTATACAAGATCTCTCTAATGCAATTCAAAAAATTAAGCATGACAAAAAAATTAATAGATCTGATGCTTCACAATTGCTAAAATTTCTTCTTAATCAGCAAAAAGAGAAACCTACAATGTTTGTTCAGCTACTAATTAATCGAGATAGTAATCGGCTGTGCGGTATATTTTGGATGACACAAAATCAAATTTTATTGTGGTCCTATTATTTTGATGTCGTTTTTTGCATGATAATACTTCAAGAACAAATAAATACAACTATCCATTGTCTTTATTTATTCTTGTTGACAATGAGGGTAAATCCCGCCTTGGTGCACAGGCTTTTTTAAATGACGAAACACAAAAAAGTTACGATTGGGTCTTATAGCAAACACTGAATACAACTGGTTTT